CCTCCTCTCTCTCTCTCTCTCTCTCTCTCTCTCTTTCTCTCTCTTTCTCTCTTATCTCTAAATATAATTAAAGTCCTATGGAAATCGGCTTCAACCTAAGTCTCACCTACTCTCTTCTATATTCTCTCTCTTAGACATTGATTCTATCTCCCCTTACCTAAACCTCACTCCAAAAGAAGAACCTCTCATCTCACAGGCTTATCGATGCTATTACCAAGACTTCTCTCTCTAAAGATAGCATTTTTTTTGACAAACTCCTATGAAAATATAGTTATACATAAATTCTCTCCCATTCTACAATTGCCCTTACCCAAATACTCTCTCTCTCTCTCTACACACGCATTCACATGCACACACAAAGTCCAACAAAAACAGTGGTAAGATGGGGGTAACTGCATATGAGCCATCAGTTTTATAAAGTTCGATACTACCACTGTGATCTAGAAAATTTGGAATCCATCAATAGTTTCTAAAGAACTAGCAGAACTATGACCAGTTCTCAATAACTTGTGAAATACATTTTTCGAAAGGTAAATGCAGTGGCAGATGAGTTGGCTAACTCGGAATTGGATACATCCAGGAATAAGTCACAGCTATATGGAACCACGGTTCGTAGTCCATTTTTCTCCATGAAGAAACATTCCCTATAGTCAAGTATCTTTATTAAAAAAAAAAAAACCAGTAATGGCAAAGGCTTGTCGATTATAAAAGGTACAATCCCTGAAAGTTCATAGATATGTTGCCAGTCTAGAAACTTAACAAACTACTCTGAAATTGATAGATACCACCGTTATGTTTCCAAACAAGGAAGAATAAAGGTTCCATCTCCCATCTCAGAAAATAACATATCCTCTTAATATCAGTGAGCCCTATATTTGCACAAGTTCCCATGTTGATGTTCCATTTCTCATTGCATGCAAGAAAAGAATTATAAAAAGAGAATATATCCTAAGGTAAATATGCATTACTGAGAAAAGCTTCATGCATCTTCTAGCTTTATGTTTCATCTTCTTCCAAAAGGCTTGACTATTTTCACTTTAGACTCCCTTGTTTAAGATGATAAGCCTTTTAACACATATTGACGACCTGCAGCAAGCCACACGCATGAGCATGCACATAACCCTACATATCCCATGGCAACAGATGTTCATAACTTCACATGGTTTGGTCCAGCAATACCATGGTTAGTGCATTATAATATTGTGAAGCATACAAAGTATCCATTCAGTTTAAACACTAAACATTAACTACAGCTCATCTTCATTTCACAAGGAAAACAAGGAGACGAGAACTGACCCCAATCCTCCATCTTCACCATAAAATTTGATGCATTATTTCATGAACCAAAAGTTTCAAAATCACTTGAGCTGCTGCACAACAAGGTGAGGTCCTGCAAGCCCAGTGAGATATGAAAAGCCATTAGTTAATATTAATGAAAAGTTCGAGTTATACTTGTGTCAATTTGAAGCAATCATTCCAAGAGCATTAACAAGATATTTGGTCATGATTTATAGTTCCGTCTTTTTTTTCCCTTTCTGATCTGTTTTTTAAATGAGTAAAGTGTGTGTTTTCTTCATGTTTGAAGTATCAAAGAATCATGCACAAAAAGTAGCTGCACCAAATCTACGACATAATGCCCAAAAAGTAGACGAACATTCTGACACTAAAAGTGATCAAATGAAGGCTCCCTCCCCATTAGATGCTCGCATCAGTATTCCACTAATTGCATTTTCAACAGAAAGAAGGCATTTAGCAGTTTCCATTAAAATATAGGAAAAGAAAAGAAATCCAATATTCCAAGTATAAGAAGCACAAAAAAACCAAGATACAAAATATAAAGTATTACAAAAGTTCTATTAGGGCAAAGGTCAAACATGTAAATGTAATATGAAGAATATTGTAATTCGTATGGCATGAGTGCATCGGAAGCCCAATAAATCGCTTTTAAAAGCCTTGCCACTTGGTTTTTTTATTTCTGCTTTCATATATTCATATGTTTTTAGGTACTCATACTTTTGCACTCCTGGGAGTGTGGTTCTAATTGAGTGAAAGCAACAATTAGAGTAATAGGTGCCACATCCATGGGTGAAAGATGTTGTGTGAGGAAGGCTCTATGGATAAAAGAGGCCATGTGATATGCGCTACTTGGAAGAAAAAGATCATCATGGAAGGTGTACTCTAATTGGATGAAAAAGGCCATTAGAGTAGGGCTTTACTTGGATGAAACAAGCTACTAGAGCTGGTTGGAGCTGATTCTATCTAGGACATTGGGGCCACCATCACTCTCGCGTCTCTTCTTGGCATGTGAAAAGGCATTGACTTGTAAGATCCAGGGTGGCGGATGTGTATGGTCCTTGTAATACGCACAGCCGAAGAGGATCCAAGGTGGTGGATGCTGAGCCAGGAGGAAACCAAGACTCTTTTGAGCAAAGCGGGACAAGAGGAAACCAAGACCCTATTGTGCAATGAGATGGTGGCTTGTAAAGGCGAGTGCCTAAAAGCCTCTTCATGGAAGTCAATTTGGTTAGAGTTGTAGCGGCCTACATAGCTGAAAATATGATGGATGCCTTGCCTGACAAATATGAGATTAACTCTACGACCCAAGTTCAACTTCGACTAGAAAAGTACAATTCTTGAAGGGTGAAAGAAATAGACTTGGTTACCGAGAATGTTAATAAAAATGAATGTCCTCGTAAAAGACACATACAATCCCAGACCACATACCAGCCTCTATGGTCCTAAACAGTGTAACCCCATCATGGGAGCACACTTTGTTGGACATTAGTGGACTTATTGGCTTCACACCCTTTGTGTAGCATTTCCTCCAAATATGCTAAAACCTTCACTTGCCCTTCTAGTGCTAGAAAACCCTTTGATCAACCTATTTTAAGTGAAAAACCTTCGTAACACACGCTTTGCCGAGCATATCATCCCATAATGTCCCTGCCTCTCACAACTCCCCATTCTATTATATGTCAATGTACTCGAATAAAACCCTTTCTCAAACTCATCAAAAAGCTTTCTCGCCGCTCTAAGTTTACCACCTTTACAAAGCCAATATATGAGTGTACTATATATAGCATTATCGGGATGCAGTTCCTCTTTAAGAGCTTCTTCCATAGCATACAAGCCTCATCAACCTTGCCTTCTTGACATATAAGATAAAAAAATTTGAAACACAGGGTTGGACATGGTAAAAACTTCTTCTCAAGCATTTCATTCAAAAGGCTTAAAGCCTCGCTAGGTCGCCCCTCTTTATGGTAAGATTTAATAACTACACCATACGTGACATCATTTGGAAGAACTCAATGGCCCTCCATGTCACTATGAGCTTAACAACCTCCATTAATTTCCCTAAACCATCAATTATGACTGTGTAAGTTGAACAGTCAGGGACCCAAACTCTGCTTATAATCTCATTCAAAAATCCTTTTTACTCCACAAAATCCACTCATAACTGTAAGTCACAGCTTATAGAGTTACAGTAATTGGAAAAAAAAAAACCCAAGCTTGGCATCTCCTCCAAAACCTAGAAAGCTGATTTCAAATCATTCATTTAACACAAGGCCTTAATTAGGACATTGCAAGTAAAAACAATTGGAAATATCCCAAATTTCCTGCAATTCCTATACAATACATATGATTAACCAAATCATGCCTTTTTGTCTGAATCATTGCATTCAAAAGAGTATTAAAAGATCTGAATCATTGCATTCAAAAGAGTATTAAAAGACCTGACTTGTTTATCCTAAACTCATTCATCCTGAAAAAGGACTGAAGGGCCAACTTGGGCTGGTTTGCAAAGCCATAGTTTGGAATAATATCTATGAATGCTATTTCACTGAAATTCTGGAATCCTTAAGCTCTTTGAGTATAATTTCCATGGAATTCAAATCCCTATCCATGGATTATGAAAGAAATTGGGGTGATATTTCGCAGCATGGTCAAAGAATTGTAAAGCTAGGTCTACATTTTGTTGTTGATTGATCATGTTTATGAGCCTCTTGGGTGAGAGTTTTAGACGCCAATGGGTGAGGGGTGAGAGGTGAGAGTATGGGGAATGACAACATAAATGACGCTGCAGTGACAAAGTTTTGTGTTGTGGTGGTACTTGTGCGTATCGGCAAAAAGTGTTTTTTTTTTGAGAAAGGTTAACATTGTATTACAGGGTAAGAAGTGGACTAGAAAAATACAGTCAGTGTATCATATACAAGAAGGGCTTATAAGACTGCCCAATGTTTCTGATTACTACGGAGGATCCGGATGATGTGCACTAATTGATTGTAGGAAAGAGCAGTAGGTCCTTGTGACTGAAATTGAAAGCTTCGGGTATTGTGTGTCTACCTTCTGGATGGTTTTTTTTTGGCTCAACATTGTCTCATTACATGTCAGATTGGTCACTGAACAATTTGTTGAAAATTTGCTTTTTAGTACCACGAAAAAAGGTATCGTCTTTCGGTTGATAAATTTCAATTGGAAATGCAATTTCATGTGTAGTCTTGAAAAAGATAAAAGAAGTTAGTAAAACTTGGTCCCCATGATCGGAATAGGTACATAGAATATGATACCATAATAGGGAATCTTTTATGAAAATGAAAGCATTTAGATGTGTGCTGAAAATTCTGTGGAAAACTCTAATGAATACTTCAAATGTTTTACCCCGAGAAATGCATGAAAAATCATGGGGTGCATGTGCAAAATGCTTGGCAAGCTTGGGGGAGATATTGGAGATATATAGGTAAGTGTGGAAATGCTTGGTAGTGCCAAGAGGTGACATAAAGGTGATGCATTCCCCTTAATTTTGTGTGGCAGAATCATGCTGGTTTCTGAAACCTTTATTGTGGGGAGTTGAGTTCCTTCATATTATCAAGTTTTTTGTCATTTTCACTTGATAAGCAATCATCCATCTTGGTATCATTTTTACTTGTTGCAGTAGGTAAAACAAAGAAACCAGAACAGTGTCTCCTACTCTTCTGGGAAATTGGTTGGAATTTTCAAACAAGTGGTTACATTGTTAGCTAACAACTATAAACTTGTTACCATGTTGTATATGAAGATTGCCTTTGACTTCTTCCTATTGTGATGCTATGTTTTTATACTATCCCATATTTGCTATTGAATATTTATAAAGCTTGAAATGTTTTGTTACAGTTTACACCACACCTGCAGCATCCCTAACCTTACCATCCGCAACCTAGCCTTTTGGTTCACTGCCCTTGCAGCCTAACAGTCCCTTCCTCTTCCAACAACTTCCACCACCAAAAAGAAAAAAACATCTTTCCATTCCCACAGATCATCCGTCCGCCTATTTCAGACCTCCCTGAAAGAATGTCAAATCATGGTGATCCAAGCAAGCAGTACCTCACTCCCTAACCAGGCTTGAAAGTTCTCAAGCAACCAAGCAGTCAACTCAACTATCACTACCTACCCTCCTCTTTAAAATTGACCACAACCTCTTCATCCCATTTCCTAAATCAGAAGACATTATGTTCCCCACGTAAATTAGAGTTCGAGATCGAAATATGATTAACATGCTATGAGACAATATTATGGAATTTGCATTATTAGGGTTTAATTAACTTGAAATCAATCTGGTCATGTATGTCACAATCCGTATTGAGATTGCCCATTAGAAACATTGATCACATCATAGAACATAAAACTGGAATGGTTTGATAGTAGCTTGAAGAATAGTGAGGCTGTTAGGGTCTTCCACTGCATAGTTGCACGTCTACCAAAACGTTTGCTAGTTTGAAGAGCAGACCTCAATTCAAGTACAAGTTCGGGAGCTCCAAACATAAATGAATTTCTCAAAAAATGCACGAGATAACTAAATTTGAAGAAACTACAATCCCTAGAAAAGGGCATCTCAAACAAAAATAAGACACATCTTGTCCAGTTCAACTTGCATGAATGCTGAAACAATTTGGACCTAATTACTGTGTTCCTCTGTTTTGGAGAGCCAGCAGAATTTTCATGTCACATGAGTTTTATTTGATGGTACAAAGGCAGCTAAGTGCTAACAATGATTTGGAAGGTGACTCAAGAAAAGATTAATCTTAATCTGAGACTACGTTTACGCGCATGTTAATTCTTATTAGTGAAGTGAGGGACCCAATTCAAATATGCATTTTGTTGAATGTTGAAACATGCCTCAACAAATATTCCTATGTGATGAATCACGATGAAACATAAGATGGAAGACAAATTCAAAAGCTATAAAAAGAACTACAAATAATAAAAATTGTCAAAAGCAAATAAGAAAATTTAACATCAAAAAGAAAATACATGCATCCCATATAGGAATATGGTTGTTCAATTTCTAGACACATGTCAAAACTTATGGGGGAAAAAATGTCAAACCATAGGTGTCCATGTCTAAAATTTCAC